AGAGGATTTTAGAAAATAAAGGGTGAGAGGAAGAGCCCATGGGGAAAAAAGGATATTTTAAAGCAATTGATCTCTTCTTTCACATCCCAGCTAAGTGGGGCACGCATTACTAACACACACCTAGTGCTGCTGCTGAAACTGGGTTTGCTCAAGGGAGGTGGGGAACAAAACCCTGCATGAAATAATTGAAMAGGCAGCTTTGAACTTCTCAGATGTAAAATGTTTCATTTAGGAGCAACACAACTTCTATTTGGCAGCTGGTTTGCTACTGGCAAGGAGTCTAAAGGCACAGTGACAAACTGCTGGGCTGACTGCCTYCCAAATTAAGCTGTGGTCACATCTCTGCTATGGAAGCAAATGATGGCATGGGAGACCATGGTGTATCAGCACTGGAGTAGGGAACACCACCACATTCCATACTGTGTGCCCAGGAGACAATCCAGGCTTATCCCACTCTATAGCTCCTGTTTTCAAATGCACTCTCTGGCTAATGTTTATTTAAAGGGGTGTAGAAAAATTCACAGATCTGGGTTTTTGAAAGAGCTAAACGATGCCACTTGGCTATAAAGTGACCTGCAGTCTCTCTCGGGCTGCTAATGCAGCAGATAATCAATCATTCCTGTCCCAGCTCTCCACAGCACAGAGGGCAGTAATCCATATTCATCTTTCATGCAAGTCTGCCAAAATGAGGCTGCGGTTCCTACAGCAGTGGATTTGGGCTGTCATTTCCTTGGGGCACAACAACTGAGACAAAGAGTTCCTGTGGCACAGCGGGGAGAGAAGGGGTCACAGATTCCTGTCAGAGCTGCCCAGGTCACATGCCTTCCAGAAATATTACGTTTCAAAATCTAGTTTCCACAAAAGTAACTTTGTCTTCTTTTACTCAAATCAATGACTTAGTGGCCTGTGACAATACCCTGACAATACCCTGCAAACGCTGACCACACTTGGCTGCAAAACGTACCTGGCAAAGTAAAAACTTCATTTGATTTTCACTCTTGATTGAACATTCATACCCTTCTTCTAAGATTCAGACAAAACCAAATCATAGCAAAGCATCAATCACAGCTAAAGTATTCCATCTCCACATGGTGAAACCAGACTAGAATGAAAGATCATATTCTTCCATGGTGGTGTTACATTCTCATTTCTGCCAGTGACACAATTTCCAGACATTCCCATCAATTTGACTCAAAGTTTTATTTATCACTGTTTCCATCTACAAGCTGCAATCACAAACATATGCAGATTTGGTGGAAGAGAATGAAGTTACTGAATCAAGAGATTCAGTAACAATATCTGAAAGCAGGGTGACTTTCACAGGGTTTAGGATTTTGTCATGCCATTTTTTTCTGCTGGCAAACTGAGGTGATCTGCAAACCTGACCAACACCTCTGAACCAGATGCCCTAAATCATTGTACTCACATTGTTCATCATCTGGGATGAGAACTAATCTATCTGTGCCTCAGATTTCTGACTGAACTTGGATCTCTTTTAAGTTTGCTYTTGCATATGGAGCAGTCTTTTGATCAGAAAAAGCAAACTGCATGCAAAGAGAATATAATTAAATRGTAAAAGCAAGGACATGGATTTTATCACTGTTTCCTATCAGTTCAAATAAGCCAATTCACAAAAAATTAGGATTCTACAACGTTCGTTTCACTTGAACAAATGAAAGTGGAAACACTTAACCAGTTCCTTTTGATCACAGACTTTTCATTCTCTTCCTCGAGGTGGTTGAGGCATTATCTGGTTTTAGTAGGACATACCCTCTTGCTCCCTCCTGTACGGTAGGAGCCCCAGAAAAAACAGAAATGCTGACTTAAATTGTGGAGAGGGAAAACAAAAAAAATTGCTTTACTTATTCCTTAACTTTCTCATGAAAAGCACAGTGTCCAGGTAAACTCTAAAGCAGTATGAACTTGCCTCTAGTCTTGTCCAACTCGGTTGTTCATGTTTTCATACCATTTTCTCCTCCTGYGTGTTTAATTCTCTATTTCTTATAAGCAGAGAAAGACTGCAGATGCAGATGCAGTGCAAGAAATTTAGCAGAGAAAAYGAATTCTCAACTATCCTTGGATGGCCTTGCTTATATAATATAGAAGCATACAGAAATATAACAGCATGGACACAAGCTCCAGTATAGATTTATGCACCTTATTCATCACACCTTGGCTTCCAGCCAAATGCAACTGAATGCAYGAATAGAAATATTTCCCAGCCTTGGGAACACTCCCAAGCTGGAGAACAGGTACAACTATTAATGCTAGCAGAACCAAAATCCTCCCTGACCCTTTTCATTCTGAGGGTCACTTCATGAAACTTATTGATGGACATGATTTTTAGTTGCTATGTGAGAATATAGCAGRGCACAGAGGGCTGTGGGTACAGAACCAGGTGAGTTGGAAAAGATCGCTGAGCCCACCGAGCAAATGTGGCACCAAACAGCACCCTGTGACCCAGAGCATGGTGACACTGGCCACCCTGAGTGACACATGGCGACACTGAGTGCCACCACCGGGGACCTTTCCTGAACACCCCCAGGGATGGGGACGGGGACTCCAGCAGCGCCCTGGGCAGCCCATTCCATACCCCATCACCTGCTCGGGGAGATCTTCCCAATGTGCAACCTCAACCTCTCCTGTCACTGCTTAGGATGCTGCATCCTCTGCTGTGGGCACGGAGCACCGAGGGCACACAGCCCTGCCCGTCCCGGTGTCCTGAGGGCACACAGCCCTGCCCGTCCCGGTGTCCTGTGGGCACGCAGCCCTGCCCGTCCCGGTGTCCTGAGGGCACGCAGCCCTGCCCGTCCCGGTGTCCTGAGGGCAC